TTTGTGGGCAGCTCATCCATTGGGGAGAGGGATGTAGGCAGAGAGACATGTGGGGCACAGGCTGTGTAAAGGACCATCCAGGGTAATAGGGGAGTGCTTAAACAATGGTCTTGGTGCTCAGGGAAGCAGGAGGCAGGAATCTCTGTTGAGTGGGGCACTGGTGAATAGACGTGGATACTGAAATAGCCCTTCTGGGGACTGAGAGTGGGAACTCTCAAAGTGTGTGAAAAACTGCCTGTTTTTCAGCTGAAGGGCCTGGAAGAGGCTGCGGACCATGCTCTTGATGTGATCTGGCTACTGGAGCACGATTGGGGTGACCTTGGCATTGCAGGGTAGATGTGGGAATGAGGCACTGAGACAAGGGAGCTACTAGTAATAAAGAAAGGGGGCCAGGGGCCCAGGGCTCTAGGAGGAATGGAAGCCGAAGGAAGGTCGGAGGGCTGGTTCTCAACTGGAGATCTCCTTGAAGTGGATGTAGAGTCAAGGGAGAAAAAGCTAAGGATTAAGAGGAGCAAGTTTAGTGGTTAGAACACAAGAAGGCACGGCAGATCCTCTAGCCACTGTATAGACAGGAGAGCAAGGGCTCAGAGAGAGGAACTGCCTTGTCCTGTACTGTGATATGCTGTCAGTACTCAAGCAAGAACCTGTTAACTGCTTCAGAAAAGCCGGCATATAAGGAGTCGGATCTGAATGGTTACAAGAGAAATGCCACTTTGTGACACCTCTGCTGCCCTTTGTGATGCAGAAGGATGTTTGGAGACATGGGGAGAGCCCGTGCATGGGTTCTGCCCATGGTCTAGGTCTTCTTATGCCCCAGCGTCTCACGCCCAAGTCTAAATGTGCTTTCAACTCCGGCTCTTACATCAGCCCTCCATTGGCGGCCCCCCACTCCTTGTCCCAGCTGGAAGGTCTCTCACCTCCCAAAGCACTTCTGTGTGGAGCATTTTCTCAAGGTCATTAGTCTATCCGAGTTGCCTTGAATATCCTGCCGTCACATATTAATATCCCCATTTCCCAGGGCATCTCACACAGCAAAAAAAAAAAGGTGTCTTCTCGCTACATCCATCTTACCAGACCCCAGTGGTATGGGCCTGAGTGTTCTATGTGAAGATTCAAAGGTCTGTGATTTTGCATTGAACAAAGGCTTGGAGTCAGGTAAGGAGCTGGGTTCTGGAGCCTACTCCACCACTTCCTGCCTGTGGGGGACAAATACTGCTCACTTCTCATCCTTATCAATGCTATTTATAAAATGGTACTCAACGACCACTTTCTACCAGAAGTTTAAAATTAATTTTAGAATATGCTGAGCACCTGTTATATACAAACTATCCCTAGAAGCTGGGGCTATGGAGATGATACAAAATTATTGCCATCTATAAGGAACCCATGTGTGTAAATGGGCACAAAGCCAGTCACTGTGCCCAGCACATGGTAGGTTCTAGATTATAGTTAATTTCTCTCCTAAGGGTGTGATCTCCCTCTGTTTCCAACAAACCAGCATTATCCAAGTATGGCATCTCCCCGCACTTCTTCCCTTACAAATTGAACAGATGCTTTTTTCAGTCTCAGAGCATGTTTCTGGAAGGAACCAAAAGGGGAAGAAGGTACAGGAAAGAGCCTCTGACTTCCCTACAGTAATTAGTTTCCTCTAGACACGGAGGCCAAACTCCGGCCACTCTCCTGTGCTTTTTAACTTCCTTCCCTAACACCCAACAGCCAGAACTGCTCCGAGTCATGGCTCTGTTCCACAGATAGAGAAGGTAGAAAGCTAATGAGCCTTGGAAAGCACATGGCCTTTCACCTCATTCGAGGAGCTTAGAGAACTCTCAGACCAGGCAGAGAAGTGAAACCCAGGATTTGAGAGCAGACCAGGGCTCCAGACTTATCCCCCAGGACTCCAGTTTCAAAACCTTACAATGTACCTGTGGCAGGAAACAGTAAGCTACAGCTATTCATCTTAATTGGAGGGTATCTGGCTTCCTGTTCAGAGGACTTCAAGCCTAGCCCAGAGGAGGCCTTGAAATGGTGTCTGACTTGTCAGGATAACAAGCCAGGAAAGAACTAGAGTGCAGAGAAGCCAAACAACATGGCTGGGAGGTCTATTTTGTCTAGGGTTGGAACCCAACAAAAACGCCTCCAAGAAAGCCTAATGGATAAACTGAGGGGACAGGTGGTACTAAATATTCCCAAAGACCTCTGATCTCCTTTGGTAAAAGGCTCATTTCTCCACCCAGTCATGAGTTCATCCATCTAGCTTTTTCCTGGACACTACTACCACCCTGGCGCTCCCCTGGGTACCCCAAACTGCCTGCTGGTTCTAGAGGAATCTTTCTATTTATTATCACCGTGTGTGTGTGTGTGTGTGTGTGTGTGTTTCTGTGTGTGAGAGCTATATACATAAATGTGTGTGGGTTCATGCCTGTGTGTGAGCTTGTGGAGGCCAGAGGAGGGCATCAAGTGCCCTGCTCCATCACTCTCTGCTTTGTTCTCTTCAGACAGGGTCTCTGAGTGAATGTGGAGCTAGGTTAGTGGCCAGGAAGCCCCAGCGATCCTACTTTCTCTGCTTTCCATAGCACTGGAGTTTGGGTTTGTGTTTAGCTATGCCTGGCTGCTTTTACATGGGTGCTGGGTATTTGAACTTGGGTTCTCATTATTACACAGCAAATGCTCTTACCAGCTGAGTATCTTTCCCAGCCCTGAGAGCAAGCTTTCTAAACCCAAATCTACCCATGCCAGACCTCTGCTTAAAACTCCTCCACGGATCCCAATGACAGATAAAAACTCAGCTCTAGGGGCTGGAGAGATGGCTCATTGGTTAAGAGTACTGTGTTCTTGCAGAGGACCCAGATTCAACTCCCAGCACCCACATGGCAGTTAGCAACTGTCCATAACTCCAGTTCCAGGGAATCTGACATCCTCTTCTGGGCACTGTATGACATGGGTACACTCATACACATAAAATAAAAATAATAAATAAAAATATTTAAAAAAACCCAGCTCTCTCAAGGCCATTCACCCTCCGCTGCCTATGGTCTCCATCACTTCCCCCTCTCACTACTGCCACAGCTACCCCAAGATGAGCCACTCCACACACTAGGGATGCCCCAAGCATGCCCTGATCTATTGCATCTCTGAATGTGCTACAAATTTTTGGCATCTACAAGTAGGTAGCTCCAAGATGCTGTTAACCTTAGTCTATAACAGTCAACCTCCATCTCCCATAATAACTCCCACCTCCTCCAAGAAACTGTCCATTTGAGCCCAGGTGGACATGTCTGTGAGTCCAAAGCAACTGCTGGCCTGTGGACATGTCTGTGAGGGATTAACTTGATCATATGAACTGATCTGGCTGACCCCACATAAAAGTGAACAGCACAGATTTAGGTCCTGACCTGTACAAAAAAGGAGACTGTGAAATGGGTTCCAGAATGCACAAGTTCATTTCTTTGTACTGTGGTTGTGATGCGACTAGTTCGTTCAGGTTCCTGCCGCCTTGACTGCCCTGCTCTGATGGACTATATCCTAGAATTGTGAGCTAAAATAAATCCTTTCTCTCCTAAGTTGTTTTTGCCAAGGTATTTTATCACAGCAACAGGAAATGAAACTAAGACACAGGGTTCCTGGCAGGGACTCTACATGAATGAATACCTCAGGAGCCTGGTACCTGCCTTGCCATCTTGAGCACAAACCTGGGTAGTAGCTAGTGAAAGAGTTGCATAGGGGATAAATATTGGCTCTGATCCCAGAGGAGTGTGGATTTGAGTCTTGGTTTCTCTAAAATGTCTTTGGGCAAGTTACTAAAGTTCCCTGAACCCTGGTTTCCTGGGAACAACACCATCTGTCATGTCAGAGGCATATGTAGTTGTTGTTTGAATAAATCATGAAGCACATATGTGAAGGACTGCTGTAAAATGTAACATTTCCATTCAAAGAACAGGTTTTTTCTTTTTTAAAAAAATTACAAGTTATGGTACCAGCAGTTTGATTTAGGAAGATGACTGGAGATTTGCTACAAGGTGTCAGCCTGGGCATCCAAACAGAAGCCTGACTCTGAAGTCCAATTGCAGGAGGGTTTATATTTGCATACTGAAGAGCTCCAATTCTGATAGAAAATGTTCCAGGGCTGTCGAGGGAAATTCTGCTAAATTACAAAGCTGCCAGCTCCTGCTTTATCAACCTTTAACTCTGGCAGTATTTAGCAGTATGCTTGTCTAGGCTCAATTTTCCAGTCTTTGATTAAGTGCTAGGAACTGACCATCTCGTGTCTTAACCTCCATGTTACTTCTCAGAAAACTGGTGGGTTCTTCCTTGCCCATACCCCCCTCTTTCTCTGCAATGGTGTCAATCACTCTGATATTTATTATTCTGAACTTTGATTTTCAGGCTGTCACTTGCTGTTGGGAAGGGGTACAGGAAATGTCAAGTCTCAATGGATATTATTTCTCCGGTGAAATTCTAACCTTGAGTTCCCTGTCTTGAAACATACCTATACAGAAACAGCCCAGTCTGATCATTTCTGTTTGATGTTTAATTGGCTGTCAGGGCTGTGCTTTCTGGGCTGAGAAGGTAATGTTTCTCAGAGAGGGAACAATTTCGGCTACACAAATGAGACTTGTAACAGGGGAGAATGCTCAACGCTGAATCTAATTTTCTCTCCCATCCATGAACATAAGACAATTTCTCTGGCATTAAAGCATCTCACTCCGTCTTTCTGTCATTAATAAGAATTAAATTCTGTTCCCTCAAATTTAAATGTAATTATATTTTGCCTCATAAATAAAATTGAATTACCATTTTCAAAATTTAGCACCATCGCAATGGCTATGTTTGGAGCTTTAATTTTTTTTTAACCTTGCTCTACTTTTGGCTTATTTTTTAAGTGTTTGGTTCATTTTGCTGTCAATTGTGACTTAATATAATAACAGAGTTTTCCAGTTTCCTAACCATCCAATCATTATTGTGCTTATTAATACTTCGTGATTTTCTTTTCTTTTTGGCAGGAAAGAAGAGTAAGGGAGAAAAAAAACTAGAAGCTCAGAGGATCTGAATTTGAATTCTGGAAGGTCTCTCCAAGATCAGGAAGAACGTAGGCCAAGAGGAGCTAAGAGAGCAAAGAAAAAACCCTGAAGTGGTATCTGAAAGGGAAACAGTCAATGTTCATTAAAACATTTAATCTAAGATTCTGTGTGTATATTGCAGGGGTGAGTGTGTACTGTTGCACATGTTTACATGAGCATGGGGGAGGCCAGAGGTCAACCTTGTGTGTCATTCCTCAGGACCCATCTACCTTATTTTTTGAGACAAGGTCTCTCATTGAGATGTGGGGTTCACCAATTAGGTTAGGTTGGTTGGCCAGAGAGCCCAGGATCCACCTACATCTGCCTCCCCAGTGCTGAGATTACAAAGAGGGTCACCACACTTAGCTTTTTATGTGTGTTGGTGATCAAACTCAGGTCTTCATGTTTGTGTGGCAAGCACTTTACCAACTGAGCTCTCTTCCCAGACACTAGTATTCAAGATGTATGGAAAGGTACTCAGTGAGTCCCTGGAGCTGGATCCTGCCCGTGTTCTGGCTTCACTTCCTGCTCCTTGCTCTGGGGCTCCTGCCCTCTAGTGAGACTGTGGAATAACTTTACCACCTATCAGACTGTCCCACATCTCTCTGTGGCTGCATGCATGGTTCCCTCTGCCTGCACTGTCTTTCCTCTCTTGGGAGCCAGGCAGCCTCTCCTCAGTCCCCTTCCTCAGTGTGACTCTCAAGTCTCCGGTGAGGCCCTGCTAGCCAAGTTCACTGCTTTCTCCCTGATGCTCCCAACCCTACTACTGTACACACATCAATTATAGCTCTTAGCAGGCTGCATGCTTGGGCGGCCAATTTTCTTCGGAGACTGTGGGGCTTTCAGAGCCTCAGTGGTACACAAGAGACATAGGAGTGAATGAGAGCAATGTGTGCAGCTGAGGGGGCTGCTGCTCTGGGATGCTCTGTGGAGACTGAGCCTGGCGCTGTTCTGGGATGCTCTGTGGAGACTGAGCCTGGTAAGGAGTTCAGGAAGCTCACTGTTGCGAGAGGAGGCTGAGCTGATGCCAGTGCAGAGGATCATATAAACTCTCCACAAAACTGAATATGTTTGAGGTTAAAAACTGCTTGACTAATTTAGATCTAATCGTGCATACTAAAAAAAAAATACACTCACACTTCATTTATTAAGTGCTTACTGAATGCCAGCTACCACGCTAGGCATTTGATGCACACATATTAAAGCTAATTTGGAAAATAGCCCTGTAAGGTGGGTATCATTAGGAATACTAATGTATAAGCTAAGGCTTGTAAATCTAGCCTGGTTCTATTCCAAATGCCATGCAATTCTTACTGACAGCACATGCTGCCTCTAAACCTGTACCACCGAATCTCCAAAACATCTCCACCTGTTATTCCATGAAACTCAAGTGTATTGAAATTATAAGAGTCATAAACCACCAGCATGAGCATTTTATAGGCAAGGATCTCTGCCATGTACTGCTTCTGTGAGCCAGCAACCCAGAGGAATAAAATGCAGTGAGAGGCTCCTCTCCAATAAAAGTCATTTATGGAAGACAAGACAGAAGAGCGCTCCCAGAGCAGTGGAAATGAGACCCGAGTTCATAAGGCTGAGAGCAGAGGCTCCAGGGAGACAGTGGGAAGAAGAACCAAGAAGCAGCCGAGGAGGGGCAACAGGTACAGCTAGTACCCTGGAAAGTGCCACTGAGCCCGAATCATTCTTTAGGAGCCAGTAGGCTCTGAAAGGAAGGGAGGCTTTGCTGATCCCAGGGACCACTGCATAACGGTTAAATTTCTTCCCTTTTCTAAGACAGCTCTGAGCCAAAAGGAAAGACTTGGTGCTGGGAGGTGGGCAGAGTCCTTCTGCTCCCATATGGAATGTGTCTTCTTCATGTGAAAGCTGTTCCCTAGGGAGCTGGCTTGACAGAAATGAACCAATGCTGGCCCTTGTCTAGAGAAGGTATGGAACCAACAGGCACGAGGTCTGGAATGTGAAAGAAATGGATTCCAGGGCTTGCCTTTAGCTCCTCAGAGCGGGGGAAGGGAGCAGGGAAGGAGGTAGTGGGGAAAGCAGGGCAGGAGCCCTGAGACTGGTGATTCTGAGATCTTCCTAGAAAGCTTCATCTGCAGCCTCACGTTCTCTGACCCAGTGGGTTCCATTGTCCTCACTGTGACCATTCCCTGCTTAGGTCAGTCATGCAGTAGTCTTTGAAAACTTACTCTGTGTCCAGCCCTGTGCTAGGAATACTGATAGAGCGACCACGACCTCACGGAGTTCACTGCTTGTCTCGAGAGACATGACTGCAATACAATGCTCAGATTACCATAGTGTTGCATGCCAGTTTGGATCCTGAGGTGGGGTCAGGTGGAAATAAGTTTGGTAAGTTGGGGAGTATCTCTTTGAAGGGAATATTGGGACCCAGGCTCCTCTTCTTCCTCTCTTTCTTTCACTTACTGGCAGCCATGATGTAGCAAACTTCCTTCAGCCCTTGCTCTTACCATAGTGTGTTGCCTTGATACAGGTCCAAAAGCAGTGGGGCTGACTGACCATGGATGGAACTTCTAAACCGTGAACCAAAGTTAAGTTTTATTTCTTTTTAGTTTATCTCTCCAGTATTTTGTCATAGTAACAAGAGGCTGACTAGGATATTTAGGAAAAACCTGAAACCAGACCTGGTTGGAGTCTGCCACTCACTAACCACATGGGGTAGGTACTGGTAATAATCCTTCTGAGCCTCGAGTTTCCTCATCTAGAAATGTTAACAGTAGTAACAGGATTGTGTTAGTTACTTGTCTTTTGCAGAGACAAAATACTTAACAAAGGCAGCTTGAGGAAGGAAGGGTAACTAGCTCACAGCTTGAGGGTACAGTCCATCATGTCGGGAAGTCAGCAGAAGGAGCTTGAGGCAGCTGGTCACATTGCAACCACAACTCAGAAGCAGAGAGCAGTGAATGCTGGTGCTCAGCTAACTTTCTTCTTTTTGTTCAGACTGGGGACTCCAGCCCATCGAACAGTATTGCCCATATGGGGAGGGTCTTCCTACCTCAATTAACCAAATCTAGAAACTCCCTCACAGACATGTCCATAGATTTGTCTCCAAGGTGATTATAGAGCCTGTCAAATTGAAAATCAATATTAACCATTACAATTACCTTCACAGGGCTGTTATGAATCCCAACCAAGATAATGGCTACCAAGCATGCAGTTTAGCGACTGGTATATAGTAAGTCTAAAGAAATAGATGGCCTTATAATTAACATTCTGTACATCGCTTGTCAAAAAGAAAAGTGACACTATTGGTGAAGAAACCTCTTTTGTATGGAAGATGAGCTTGAGGCAAGAGCTGAGGACTTAGAAACAGAGGCCCAGTTTTAATTCAAACTATGTTGCTGATAAGCTGAATTATTCTGGGCAAGTCATTCTCCTTTCTAACTCATTCCTTTCTGTAAAACAACAGCAGCAATCACATCCCTGTACCATCAGCAACATCCCAAATGATTTAGTTAGTGACACTCTGTTGGGCCCAGAGCTGAGGGTGGCTGTATGTTGGTACCCATTAGACTCTGTTCCCACAGTTATCCTATATGGCTTGTCAGGAAGGAGGACCATGTGAATGAGGCTGGATTCAAGGAAAAGTTTCTGAGATGAGATAGGAAACCAAGTTGCTGGGAACCAGGGACCTGAGTAAATACTTGTATAAGATTTGACTTCACCGAAGTGCTGAGGAACCTGTCAGCTCACATTTCATTACAGGGCATGTTGACTTAAGCTCCCTTCATTACATCCTGTACTTGGTGCCGAACAGCCAGACACTCATCTCAGGGAGGAAACAGTCCTTCTTCCTAGAAGGCGGCAGACATCTCTTCCAACCCATCAACCTAAGTCAGTGCTGCCGATGGTGTGAGATCGCTTAGGATGCTCCTGCTGGCCTGCACCCCCTGCACCTCCATGAAGACTAGACAGCATCCACACCCACTCCTGTGCCAGGCAGCAGAGAATGCAAATCAATCACATGGGCAGAGATGGGCCAGGCCCTGGAAGAAGAACCACTTCACTTACATTTTCTCATTTATTCCTTATCACAGTTCTGTAAGGTAATTTTATCTGGGAGGAAACTGAGGCTAAGCTACTTGCTAAAGCCACCCAAGTCATGGGCAACAAGGCTTTGAAACCGAACACAGCCTGCTCCACAGTGCTCTAGCAAAGTCTCTGAACACAAAGGAGCCTCTTGGCTGTGGTGGGTCCAGACAATGAGACGTCTCGTGCTTGGCTTCACTGCAAAAACTCAATTTTCAAATGACTGCCCCTCATTGAAAGTACCCTTGAAGGGAGGTGACAGAAAGACATCCAGTGCTTATTCTGTGATAGCCGCTGCTGTATGCACCCAAAATGATATAATTTAACGACATACCCCACTGAGATAGGTATTAAAGAAGAGTTAAGAAAAATTAAGTTCCTTGCCAACATCACAAAGCTAGCCTGTGTCAGAAGCAGGCTTGAACCAAGACAGTTAAGGCCTACAAGTTGGGATGAGAGGAGGGAGAAGGCCTGATATGCTTTTGTTATCCTTTCACTGACTTCCAGAAGGGAAGAGACAGTAGTAGAGAAACTTGCGTACGGGGAGGCAGCACAGGGTGATAAGAAGAGGCTAGACCCTGAACCTTGTGGTGGGGTCTGGCTTCTACCCCCTCACTCACCAGTGTGCCTTTGATGAGCCGCAGCCACCCCAGGTCTAATCATCAGTATGCAGATGATTCTGTGCTTACCACCCCTACCTTACCTGGCTCTGTATATGTATGTTCTTATGTGAAAGGTCTTGGTGTGCTATGAGGCACTCAACAAACACAGGATGTTGTGACTATTAAACAGGAAGACAATAACTTCAAAGTCAGTCATCTTTAAATTCCTGCCCTGACAGCAACCCTAAAGTCTACAGCTAGAGATCTAAAGACCACAATGCACACTTCTGAAAGGGCACAGTCCATCTTCCCTCTCATTATCAGATGTCTTGAGGAATATCAGATACGTTCACTCATGTGTCTTTTAATAAAATCATAACGAGATATTTCCTGAGCGCACATCATGGATCAAGCAGTATGCTAAGCCCTCTTCTATACTGCCTTAAATAATTTCCACGCCCCCATAGGTACTATCATTATCTCTGATTTTAGCTTAAATGGGTGAAGTAAGTGGCCTAAAGTTATAATTAGTAAGTAGCAGAGCCACAATTGTCTGCTTCAGGGTTTCCTTTCAGCACAGGATTTTCCTACGTCCTCCCATAGGAGTCTATGTGCCTGTGTGGTATCAGCTGTGGGAATGGTGTACTCAGGATAGAGGAGGATGAGCTCAAAGTCCTTTCCAGTGTGTGTGTGGGGGGGAGGTGTGGGGGCACAGTACATGTGCACATGTGAGTGCATATAGAGGTCAGAGGTCAATGTCAGGTGTCTTCCTTGATCACTTTCTATCTTATTTTTAAATATATTTTATTTATTATTTTTAGTTCATTTTATGTGTGTGCAATGTCCATGGAGGTCAGAAGAGGGCATTGGATCTCCTGGAACTGGACAGTTGTTAGCTGCCATGTGGATGCCGGGAACTGAACCCAGGTCCTCTGCAAAAGCCAGTGCTCTTAACCACTGAGTCATCTCTGCAGGTCCCCCCCATCTTATTTTTTGAGACAAGATACCTCTCACTGGATCTAGAACTCATCGACTCTGCTAGATTGGTTGGCTAGAGAGCCCCAGGGTTCTGTCTCTACACTCTCAGCATGTTGCAGTGCCCAGCTTTTTATAAGGGTACTGGGGACTGAACTCAAATCCTCCTGCCTGTGCAGCAGACACTTTACCCACTGAGCTTTCTCCTGACTGCTTTCCAGGGATTTTGTCATCTCTGTTTATAGGCCCAACTACATACTACACTGAAATTTCAGCCAAAGCTATCCTTGCCTCCTCCTGGGCTGTGGAATTTCATCAGGGATTAACAGTGCAAGGCACGGGTTATAGACCCATCGTAAATTAGCTTTGCGGCCACATAATGAACAATACAAGGCTGCGTAGCTTTAAGAGGACCATTTATTATATTGTTATAAACAGAGCTTTATAAAAAGAATTATTCCTGAGACTCCACACATCTGTGCTCACAATCATGTCTTTACGTGAGCTTTGCAAACAGGGATAAAAGTCCAATTTAGATGCACACTGAACATGAATTCTCCATTCTGCTGGAAAGGTAATTCAAGGTATTTCAAAGGCATGAATGCTGCATGGGTCTCATTTTTGCCAAAGGTCACAGCCATCTCTCTTGATCACAACCAAAACTGTTAATCCACAACATAATGTGCTGATTTGAGCTTTACTTTAACAGTATGGAGTGGTTAAACAGTGATTTACAGTCAGAAGCTTCCTCTCTCTGTTTCCCAGAATGCAAGTGCATTCTTGTTTCTCCATCCTCTCTGGTTAGAAGAGTGCCTAGCACACAGTAGGAGCTGAGTACATATTCACTGGCTTAAGTGTTGTGTAAATTGGCAAAAGTGCATGCCAATTCCTTTATTTCAAGGATTTTTGTGTAGATTAAATGAGATGTTAGATGTGAACAAAACCTACCAATACCGATACTGTAGTTCACTTACTTTGTCATTTAATCCTCATCTGGGGAGGTTCTATAAGACAGTGTTTACAAAGAGTAGGCTGCCAAAAGTAGTATTCTGCAGGGAATCAGATACCATAGCCAATAACATAATCATGCATCTGTCCACCCAACCATCCATGCATCCACACATCCACACATCCATCCATCCATCCATCCATCCATCCATCCATCCATCCACCCACCCACCCACCCCACCCACCTATCCATCCATTCATCTACCCACCTATCCATCCAACCACCTATCTATCCATCCATCCATCTACCCACCCACCTATCCATCCATTCATCCACCCACCTATCCATCCAACCACCTATCTATCCATCCATGTATCCACCCATCCATCCATCCATCCATCCATCCATCCATCCATCCACCCACCCACCCACCTATCCATCCATTCATCCACCCACCTATCCATCCAACCACCTATCTATCATCCATGTATCCATCCATCCATCCATCCATCCATCCATCCATCCATCTTTATTGAGCAGATCAGGCTTATGCTGAGTTCTGGGCTACATCCACTAACAGACATGTTTGCTATACCCCATAGAGCCTACTGTCTTGTAGAGAATTAAGCTAGAAAGGAGGTAGGAGCAGATTCCAGAGGACCCTAAAATCTACAGTGAGTTTAGCTTTCATTCTGAGAAAAAGATGAAACTAAAGAGTAGCATGGTGGGGAAGGTGTCCCCCCATCACCCCTAGTTCCTGCAACTCTCTCAGGAACTTTCCTTGTGGCCTTGCCATCAGGGATGAACACCCTACCTGGAGAGACAAGTCTCAGTGAAACATTGCTGGAGTCTTAAGTGCCACTGTCAGTGTTGAAAAGTGACATTTTTATGGTTTAATATTAAAATATTCTTCATAGGTCCATCCACTGAATTCTTGATCTCTAGTTGGTGGTGCTACCTTGGGATATTCTGGAAACTTTACAAGGTGGAACCTGACTGGAAGGAATAGGTCACTGCTGTTTGAAAGTGAATGTCTGCCATAGGTTCATATATTTGAGTACTTGGTCCCTGGCTGGTAGTGCTGTTTGGAAAGGTTGTGGAATCTCTAGTAGCCTTGCTGGAGGAAGTAGGTCACTGAGGTGGGGTCTTGAGGTTTTTTTAAAAAATTAGTTTTTATTTTTAAATTCTTTTTTTTTTTAATGTATGTTATTTTTATTTTGTGTGTATAAGTATATTGCCTGCACGTGTGCAAGTGCGCCAATGCTGTGCAATGCCCATGGAGGTCAGAAGAGGGCATTGAGCCCCTTGGAACTGGAGTTACGGACAGTTGTTAGCTGCCATATGGGTGCTGGGAACTGAACCCAGTCCTCTGCAAGAACAACCAGTGTTCTTAACAGCTGAGCCATCACGCCAGTCTTCGGCTTTTATAGCCTGCCCCCACTTCCTGTTCAGACTCTGCTTCCTGACTGGATACAATGTGGCAGCTGGCTTCCTGCTCCTGGGGATCTCCTCAAACTATGCACTAGCACAAACTCTTAATCCCTTCAATTGCTTCTTTTGAGGTATTTTGTCACAACTAGAAAAGTAAGTAATGCTGTCATTGAGGGCAGGTCCTTGGGGGACTCTGCCTTAGTCCCTTCCTGTCTCTTGCTCTGCTTCCTGGCCATGGTGAGGTAAAGAACCTCTTCCACCACATGCTTCCAAGGCCCCGAGAGCTTGTCCCAAGCAACCACAGACTGAAACTTTTGAAACTGTGAATCAAAAATGAATTTTTCTCCTCTAATTTCTCTCACACATTTTGGTCAGTCATACAAAAGTACCTAATATTTCATCACAGTTTAGACTCTCAGGGCTGAACAATGTGAGGATATAATTTCTGAATTCTTTGCTCACTAAAAGAAGAGGCATTGAAAGCCTAGTTCAGAAAAGAAGCAAAGCATCATAACATGGGCAGTCCATGGCTAGGTGTCTGAGAACAGGACAACGCCACTCACTAGGGCCACATGGGTCACATGTAGCAGAACCCCGCCCTCCACCCATGCCCTGACCCTTTCTCATATTTACCTATGGAGCAGTCATGTCCAGTCCAGCTTGGGTCACAGTTGCAAAGCCCAGTGTCTGGGAGGAAGGTTCCATGGCCTGAACACTGGTCCAGACATGTGGCCCTGGGTGTCTCACAGTTGGTGCCTCCCCATCCCACGGAGCAATGGCACTCGCCTCTCACACAGACACCCCGGCTGGAACAAGTGGGGTCCATGCAGTCCACTGTGATATGGAGAGAAAAGCACCGTGAGTTCTGGAGCAGCGGAGTGAGGCTTCTGTGAGGTGGCATGCTGCTCGAGGGACCTGACTGTCAGGAGAGGCTGTGATGAGTAGGACTCCAGCAAATGGTAGATCTGGGTTCCCAACTCTTCAAGGCTCAGTTTCCTCTCCTGTGAAATGTGGCTACAAGTTCCTACTCTTTTGTTTGCAAAGTGGACAGAGTATAAATACATATTAAACTTTACATGATACTCAGAGCCTAACATCTTTGTAAAAACATGGAGAGGAGAGGAGGGAGGGGAGGGAAGGGGAGGAGAGGAGAAGAGGAAGAGACTACTCATCTCTATCTCCCACCTGAGTACAGTGCCCAACACAGGGGAGATAGCCCATAAGTTTTTAGGAACACATTTTTGTTACTATGTATAACACAGTCTTACTTACGAGCATGAGACCAAAGCAGAGTCCTTGATTAAAGAGAACCATTTTATAATTCTTTTTCATTAGATTTCATTATGCTCCCCAAATTCATGTGATTGACATTAATTTCCAAACTTCTCCTTGAAAGCAACTTTTTTGAGGACAGTTCAGTACCATGTGTGCATAGTCAGCACAACTTCTCCAGTGGTGAGCTAGAAAGCTGTGGCTTGCAGCTGGGTGGCCACTGCAGGGCTCCAAGGGCTCAAGGTCAAGGGGTTTTAACACTGTGGGTTGCCTACTCTGGGCTTGTGCTATTAGTAAGCGCTTAATGCACTATCAGATTTAGCTCTTTCAATAACCCAGTGAGGGTTCATATGAGGAAACGGATACTCAGAAGGGTAAATAATTTATGCCAGGTCACACAGATATAGTTTGCCAGAGATGATTTTTTTCCCCAACTTGTATGTGTGTGCGCGTGTGTATGTGTGTGTGTGTTACATGTGTGTGAATATGCAGGTGTACATGCTTATGCATGGGCATGCAGAGGATACAGCAACCATCAGATGTCTTTCTCTACCCCCTCTACCCTACTGCATTGAGACAGGGACTCTCACCGAATGGGAAGCACTGCACTTTCTAACTGTAAAGAAGACAAGGCCAACAATCCCTACCTATAGGGAGCAAGTGGCCCTGAAGAGCTGAAGGAGCTCTATGAACAGAAATGTTGCAAAGGGTTATTTTTCTATCTCAGGACATTAAGTAGTGAGACTTTTGCAAACTATGGTCAGGAATAATTTATAATTCAAGCATCTGAAATTTATTTATTCATTTCATGTATAATCCAGTATATTTGACTTTTGTACAAAAGACTGGGAAACCTAGCTTGTCTATAAAAGAGTCAGAGGCACAAAAGGGCAGAGACTTTACAGATGAAAAGTCCTAGGACATTTGTTCTGAGGACCAGCCTACTGAAAAGGCTTTTCATCATTTCAGTTTTTAAAGAAGTTTTAACTTAACAATCTCAGTGAGAAACAAGGGGCCAGGCATAACTAGTTGCTAAAAACACAGTAATGGCAGTAATAAAAATTGACCTTCATTTAGTTGCTCTTCTGTGCTGTGTTTTACTATTAAACATTTTATATAGTTTCATTTAATCCTAGCAACATATGTATGCTGTAGCTGGTGTGAGTGCCCTCATTTTATAGGTGATGAAACTGAAGCACAGAGTGGTTAAATAATTTTCCTAAGACAACACAGGAGGAATTTACATTTTAATCTCTCTTCCTTGCCTAGATCTCTTGCAGTTTTCTTTTATAATCTTACAGGTTCAAAAATAGATGTGTGTATTTATGCTTGTATAAACATATAAGACTGTTTAAAAATAGAAACCAACTCAAAACATGGAAAGAAACAGGGCAATGTAAGGAATTTATAAAGCCCAACGAGAGCAAATGACTTTTCCCCAGTCTCCAGACACCATTTAGTAATGGTTAAAGCATAGCCTGCCGGAGTTCTGGTAATTAAAAATAATAAAGACAACAACAGTGATAAATTCTCATGACGGGCCTCAGATCCCAGACCCTCAGAAGGATTATTCCAGCCCATTAGGCTACTATGGTAATTCCCCAGATTCGGTGTGCTTTCCAACTTGACAGGAAACAGCTCAGCGATTCCTACCCAGAGGCCTAGGCAGGTATTTCCCGTCTTCTGAGTGCCTGGTCCCAGCTTTGGGTTGAATCCATCTCTGAGGATCCCAGGGTACCCTCACTGTGGATTCTGTAAATCCATATTGCTAGCCATCAAGTCAGAAGGGTGTCAAGCTTAGTGACAGGCCTGTCCTTCCTTAGACACTGAGTCTGGTAGGGACCTAGGAACCAGCAAAGGGAATCCCACATGCACAGGAGAACAAAGAACAGGAAGAAGCTGATGAGAGGTCATCTCCAGACAGTTGGTTTTCATGTCTCCAGGTGACCAGGCACACAAGAATGAGGAGTTCACAGACTGCCCAGCAGGGGGAAGGCAGCTCCTTGCACCCTGCCTAGACTAGCTGAGTTTCTTCAGCACTGGCCCTGATCCCTGATTCTCAACCCAATTTATGTCACTGGCAGTGCTCTGCCAAAGAGGCTATGGGCCGACTGGGTCTGTCCCCTCCTGGGCCTCCAGGTGACAGAAGATCCAGGACAGGATAAGGCCATCTTCCTTTACACGGAGACAGCCTCACCAACATGGCTTTCTCCCACAAAGCCCCATGCAACACATGGAGAACCAACAAGCTTGGTGGAGAGCACGAGATGAAGAAGGAAGGATGTCAGGGAGGTAGGCCACCTTGGTTTAGATTCGCTCTACAAGGCCGGCCAAATAGTTCCCTTTTCCTCCTTTGCAGAGCTTGTCATTGGAGCCAAAATTCCTGGCAGAAGCTTTAGCCCATTAATGAAACGATGATGCCTGCATGGCCACACTGCAAACAAGTGCCTTTCCCCCAAAACGGTCCACGCTTCAGTGACCACACAAGTGATTAGATGCCCTTAAGGACTAAGAATGCAGTGTCTCACTTTTCACTGCAAAAGATCTAAGTTTGCTCTCTTCTGCCCTTCCCCCAACCCCCTCCAAGCATCCTGCTGGTTCAGTTCAAGCTTTAAAAAATATGGGGCCATAAACTTCAGAAGGAGGAAGAGAAAGAAAAAAGTCAGCTTGTTAGCTGATGTTTTATAAACAGGGAACCGTTAGCAACAGAGCCCAGGAAGGTGAGGGAGGAGAAGAAGAGAGAAGGAGGAAGCCCCCCCCCCAAAAAAAAAAACCTTATTATGAACACAGGCCTATACAAGCACATTTCAGCAGAGAAAAAGAAATCATAAAAATGAATCAGTCCCAGATGGCCCGCTTCAGAAAAGAGAGCAGGAGGAAAAACATTTCTTTTCAAGCAGATAACGTAAATCAGAGTTTCAAGCATTTTTTTTCCCTCTCTTTGAAAATAACCCTGCAGCTCTGGAGCACTGTCCAGTGTCCTCCCATTTGGGGACATGCCACATGGGCAGGGCTTTTGGTAGGACAGCCCATGGTTCTAATAGGAATCTCTCCTATGCAGGGTCTTCATCTCAAGTGACCAGAAGGGAAGGGAAATCGGAGAAAGCTCTCACCTTCCAGGTGGGAAAACCAAGTCCCTTTATTTTGGTTGCTCACCTCTCCGAACAGCTGTTGTCACCCTCAAAGCTAAGAGGGCTGTATCAGGACTCAAAGGCCCTCTCGAGGGTTATAGGTAGCTGAAACAGGCACTAATCCCTCCTGCCTAGATCCCCACTCTTGGAAAATGTCCTGCTAACATTCTCTTTTTTGAGACTCCCTGTAAACTACTAAATGGGTTTAGAAGGTCAGTTTTCCTAGGAAGCTTCTTTCTCCCACTGAGAAAGGGGCCAGGGCTCTGGGTAGTAGGAAGCAGGAAGAAATGGCACATGAATACATTGTCAAGGGCAAAGGCAAAGTCCATCCATTTCCAAACCATGGATGAAGTAAGTGGGTCGAAGCTTGAGTTTCCTGCAGAATAATACCACTTCTATATAAGAGCCACATTTATGGAGCATTTACTAGGTGTCAGCCACTGAGTTAAGTGCTTGACATGGGCTATTTAATTCAGCCCTTGCAATGGCCCTCTGAGGAAGGTAGCCCCACTTTATAGAGGAGGAAACTGAGCCAGGACTCAGCGGTCTATCTGATTCCAAATTGTGTACCCTTGATAGCTGTTCCCTGCTAGAGGCTGGCCTCCTTCTCAGAGGACAGCATGCCATTCCAGCCCATGAGTCTCACCTTCCTCACAGCTCTCCCCCTTGTAGCCAGGGTTGCAGATGCAGGTGCCCATGATGCAGGTGCCATGGCTGCTGCAGGCCACATCGATGCACTGGTTGGTGGGCACATCACACTCGGCACCCTTCCAGCCGCTGTGGCACAGACACCTGCCCTTCATGTACTGGCCGTTCCCACTGCACAGCACAGGGCAGGAGGCTGGAGAGACAGGACCAGAAGCCCCAGTGAGTCATCCACAGTTGGTCTTTGTTCCCCTCTCCTCTCAGCTTGACTGATAGCCTCAATCACGTTGCCACAAACATCTACATGTACCCATCACCTGCTTCCTTTGTGTTATTTCATTCTAGTTTAAACACCCCCGGAATTAGAAGTGAAGGTGTGTGGTGTGAGGGCCAGCAGCTGTCAAAAGGTACTGCTTTCTCCAGCCCCATCCTATTTAGATGGTGCTCCCTGGCTACTAGGAGTTTATTTAGCCAGTGCTGTTATTGGCTTCTCATCATCACTGGAAAAAGACAACGTCTGAGCCTCCTGGCTGCCTACATCTCTCCTCCACCACTCTCCTGCTAATAGTACTTCATTTTCGCTTCCCCACACCTCCTCTGCACCACCACTTACTGCTGTCTTTAACCCTGGCAAGTCTCTCCTTCCCTTGTCTTTCAAGCCCCCATTCCAGCCCCTCATGCCACAGCCCCTCAAGAGAACAGCCGAGCTCAACTTGGCTCTTTAAAAGTATTATCTTTCTACTCTGCCTCTTAGCATAAAGAGTTTTGTGATCATCTCTACAAAGGACACTATATAAAAATAAATTATATTGCAATGTGCTGTAAGTACTTGCTTGTCTTACTGAGATACAAAAAGGCTGTTTTATTCATGACTCTAAGTGTGGATGGGATGAGACAGTCATTCTCATTAGAATGACTCATCTCTCTCCCTGAGCCACCTTTATCGGCCCCCACCTGGCTTCTTTTCTTTTTAAAGCACTCAGCAGGTAATCACTGTGTTCCCCAGGGCCCCCAGCTCACATGCCTCAATTTGAGTATATTTCATAGTAGCTAAAGTAAGCAGAATCCCCAGAGTTGCGTCCTGGGTAGGATTTGCTGGGCACTATTCCCCCTCAGCCTGGTAAATGATCTCTGCCTTCCATTCTCTAACTCTGCAAGCCTCAGACTTGGATCCAGCCCCACCTCTTCGCCAAGCCTCCTGAGCAGATCATCTTCCTGTCAAGCCGAGTCAGCTGCAGTGAACCTTGTGGCCTCTGTTTAGTTTTATTATGTTGCTTTGTAATAGTCGGTTTATTTGATCATCTGAATAACCTAAGAAATCTGGGTTGGGTAAGTGGTGTAACCCCAGTATTCAGCACTGGATGGGGTGGGGTCCTAAATGTGCATGAAGCCAGTGGCTGCTGGGTAAGGGAAGAGATGGAAAAATGCAGACAAGAGGCTATTTTTGTTTTACCACTGGGAACTCCAACTTCTAAGGACCACAGACCCTCCTCCTGCAGTTTCCCTGTTTATGCCTCTAGGTAAGAAATGAAGGCCCAAAGCAGGGTAGGTCTCAGGTGCCTTCAGACTAGCTCAGAAGTTGTCACCATTGGCAGGGCAGGTGCTGAACACAGCATTAAGGTACATGTGAGAGGAGCAGTGGGCTTCCAAGTCCCTCTCCTTGTATTTTAGCTGAGATTCTGTCTGCATTGTAGGAAGGCAGGAAGAGGTGTAATGGCTCACTGTGCTTCCCACCCACAGGCTGGATAGCTCATGCTCTGTGAGGAGATCCTTCAAAGATGCTTGGTAAGAAGTGATGATTACTCTGAAGAGGAAATCAACTTTCCAAAGGATGCCCCCACCTCCACTCTCCCTGCTCCAGTAAGGGACATAGTACTTCCAGTCCTAACCTACCCAACTGTCCACAGGTAGCTAAAGATGGGTGCTCAGATGTGGCTCTGCCTGCTGAGCTCCTCTTGACAGGTTACTGGAGAAAGGCCCTTGACATTCTTTCTTGGGCACATCAGAACGTTGCCTGAGTCTTAAACTTCCTCTGAGCAGTATACCCCAGCTACTTACAGGGTCTGGGGAATGGACACCCTGAGCCCCATGGGAGTGCTCACCTCGGCCGCAGTCGGGGCCCAGAAAGCCCAGGAAGCAGTGGCAGGTCCCTGAGATGCAGTCGCCGTTGCCATAGCAGTTGCTGGGGCAGTTATCCACTGATTCTGGGAGGCAGGGAGGAAGGGAGAGAGGGAGGGAGGGAGAGAGAGAGAAAGAGAGAGAGAGGGAGAAAGCTGAAAATGGAAATGGCTTCACACACACAGAGTTCAGAGTCAAGACTCTGGTGAAGCAAGACCCACTTGTTTGAAATATCTGGTCCCAGTAATTGGAAGGAACCAATGGAGTTAAAATGCCTCACTCTTGACTACCATCCTCAGGCCTCTTGGGGTAAGTCTATAGCGCAACTCTCGCGCCGGGACTCCCTAAGGCACATTCACCCTTCCATCCCTCCCGCTGTTCTATACTCCTAGTTTGGGCCCTGCGCCATTCCTAGTCTTGAACCAATACTGCTTCCTGATCCTTCTCACCAGACCAACTCAGTCCCTTTCTTGGGCTCCAGGAGCACCGCTTCTGGTCCTGGCCCCGCCCTCACCCCTCTCTGCTTCCCTGGGCCAGCACCACCAGCTAACTCTCCTAGCCTGCACTACTATCCTCAGGCCTGACCCCCCAAGCCACATTCATCCTGCCATCTCCCCCGCTGTTCCCTACTCCCAGTTTGGGACCTGCGCCATTCCTAGTCTTCGGGCCCCAGACACCTGGGGAACCAATACTGCTTCCTGATCCTTCTCACCCAGACCAACGCAGTGCCTTTCTTGGGCCCCAGGAGCACAGCTTCTGGTCCGGGCCCTGCCCTCACCTCCCTCTACTTCCCTGGTCCTGGAACACCCCCCAGCCTCTTTCTGGTGCTGACAGCCTCTTTCTGGGACTCTGAGGCTTGCCTTTACTCTCCCTGATCCTTTGCATCCAGTACAACCCAGCTACTCAATCCACTCCCTGGGAAATCTTGGGGCTTCTTCCCGCCCCATCTGCCTTTGCATCCCTGCATGGCATGGCCACAGCCAGGGTCTCAGGGCAGTCCAAAATCCAAGTTCCTGAGGCCAAAATCATTCTTAGAAGATTCCAGACCCAAGGAGAAAGTCTGAAAACTTCTGACC